TATTAAAGTGACATTCAAAGGGACTTTAATGTTAATGGCATTAGAGTGGCGGGGTCATTAATCCAGGCCTCATAGAATTCAACCAAAGACTTGCAGGTCTTCGCCTCAATTTTTCTCAATGAAATTTCTTCCACATGGCATATTTCACTTCCTTTCAATCATTCTCACCGTTGAGTTCTACTGTAGAAAATTCCTACCACGTGATAAACGTCAATCGATCGCCCATTCTAATCTCTGACTTCTAAACAATCTCCGAATTATATACAGAATGCCACTAATTAAAGATAAGTTTCAGGGTACAGGACTGCTCTGCTTCAAAATGAATCTACTGTCACTCACCTCTTTCCTCATCTCTCTCCTACATGTTCTCCTCCCATCCACCACAGCCGCACCTTACAACGCCACTGACATCATAGTCCTCAACTGCGGTGCAAGTTCAACAACTACATCATTGGATGGCCGCAAATGGGAAGCTGATCTTCTCTTTAAATATTCCCCTTTTAACGACCGAAACGCATCGTTTCCTTCCAACGCCTCCAGCGAACACCCCTCTGTTCCCATGGTTCCCTACTTCTCAGGACGTATTATTTTTAAGGAGCTAATTAATTAAATTAAACTGCCTATTTTCCCATTCTTTAATCACCAAGCGGTGACTTCTAATTGGCAGAAGGCTTTTTAAGTCTTTATAAATCCCTTTGAAGCATCCTATACTTCAGTTTTTATCAGTTTCACCATTGCCCTCAACTGTAGAACTGATCAATGTTATTATCAGTTTCACCCTTGCCCTCTACTTAGAACTGATCAATTTTATTATAAGAAGGCTGCAATTAATGATGACTGGATTTCCTTAAGTAATATTGAATCCAAAAAACGCTGACTCTCATCATCTTCCTCCTCTCACTCCTCCATGTCCTCATGTTGTTCTTCCAATATTCTTCTTCATCTCTGCATTATGTTATTATTGTGTTTTAGTTATAAAATTAAATAATAATAATAATTAGTGAATTTATTAAAAAATATTGATAAAAAAATAATATAGAAATAAGTGTAAAAAGCTTTCTTATTTTAGTATAGCAAAAATATATATAATATATTGCTATCAGGATGTTATAATTTTATAATAATATTTTATGAATTTACATTATTCATAGAGTCACTTGACTCAAATTATCTTTTTTTACACAAAAATATCTAGAAGATAGAGCAAAGTAAAAAAGTAGAAGTTTGCAAAGAAATTTATCTAGTTAAATAAAAGGATATGTCTTATTTATAAAACTTATGATCATGTAATTTTCATTTATAGATTAATAATAAAAAGATGAGCAATTATTATAAAATAGCAATTAACTTTTAACAACTAATTTAATCAAATAAATAATAAATTCAATTTATAAAATATATTTTTTATTTTTTATTAAAATATCTAAGATCCAACACCTCATTGTGACAACCACCTCCTCCCCTACAATGCCACTGACTTCATCCTCAATCGTGAAGACTTTCCTTGCATGACGTTGGATGCTTCCCAAGGGTTTCTCAAGTGAAGTCTCCAAAGAAGTCTTCTTTTTTTTCTTTTTTTTTTTTGTGTTTTTCTTTTTCTTTTTCTTTTTCTTTTCTTATGTACGTTCCTGGTTCAGGATAACTACTGAATCAGAAGCTTTTTATTTGGCGCGTCTAAAGTTTTGTTGCTTTGATGGCCATCACACACATAATGTTTCCAAAAAAACGATCAAAGAGTAATTAAAGTGACAATTATATTAAAGGGACTGTTTTATGGTAAAGCCTTTTTTTTGGGGGGGG